AATTACTATATTATGCAAATTTGTTAAGTCTTGAATATCCTTACTATAAAATTTACAAATATGACAACACAAAAAACAAAATGATATATAATTGAATGATATTATTGAATTAGGTGAGTAAACGCTTCATTTTTTGTTAACAAATAATGTGAGGCGGTGGATAGATGTTCATTTTATTCTTGCAAAATTGATGCCTTTAAGTAATAAGGGATCATTTTGCCCCAGCGTCTTTTGCAACAAGGGATCTCAGTTTATAAAGTTTCATCCGTGAGGCCTGTTTCTTTGTCCCACAGTCGGATTCAAATCTGCAATATCAAGATCGACTCCTTACTTTGCGGTCAACATGCTAATCACTGCGTTACGCGGGTGCCGCATACTGTTTGTTATGCGTTAATATATTTTACAAGAGACAGAAGTATTTCGATGGTAACATTCATTATTCCAAACGTAAAAAAATTTATACCATATTTTTATTACAACGGATAAACTTCAGAGTATTAATTTCTTAATATTTAAAAACATACAATACATGTATTTAACGGTGTATAACTTTATTGAAAAACAATTCATAAAAATGTCAAAGTTGGAACATGTTAAAAGAAAAGCAAGCAGCAATCAACTAACATATATATATATATATATATATATATATATATATATATATATATATATATATATATATATATATATATAGACTCTTTTTTTCATGTACAATAAAATACGGTGGTAAAAAAACATACTCAAGTAAGAATGTATATTTCAAATACATGATGCTATACTGGTCTTGACTCAATATCTTCAATTAAAGATCGTGAATCGTCCTGGAAAAATTAAAAAAAATAATATACAGTCAATATGTCATGTGTAGTTCTTTTAAAGTAGCACATAAACACGTATATGTTATCGCCTGCGTTCACTTAATGCTTGAATTCTAAGTCAAACTTTACACACACCCTAACACACATACAACGAGAGAGAGAGAGAGAGAGAGAGAGAGTCCAAAAACTACCAAATAATTTTTTTTTAATCTAGTAAAAGTACTCACCCAACCTCCTTGCGATCAGTCTCTTTTCCGATGTTTGGTCGGCCTTTATAACAGCAAACTATGCATATTAATGCAAAGAAACCCGAAAAACCAGTACAAATCAATGCTAGACCACTATTGACATAGGATTCTTGATCAAACACACGTGCCCAGGATCCCTTACATCCGGTAGGTGTGTTTGGACATACGTCATAACAGCGACCCTCATATATGTAACGACTGCTTTTCGAACATTCGTACCCCATGATACATTTTCTACGGTAAATGACGTAATAATTAGGACAGACCGTCACACAATCAGTCAAAGGATTGTCATAATTACTGTAATTATCATACCGATATGGTTTGTAATTTGGGCAATCATTACTACATTTGTGTCCTACTATTACTTTAGAAGAGGGGACACTTGTTAACACATCGGTTAACGTCCACGTATAAATTTTTGGAACATTTCTTAGTACGTTTCCCAATGTAACATTCTCTTTATAGGTATTGTTTGGGGCATGAAGTGCTGCGTGTGCAGATATTGTTTATTATCAACATACTCTCCGGACACTCTCCTACACAGTGAGGTGTGTTTTCAATTAATAACTGTACCATTAGGACAAAAAGACGAATTCAAGCACACTATTCCTTGGTTTGTTCGTCTCTGAAGCGCCGATATCTTGAACACACGTTAACACACTGTTTGTTTTCGATGTAGAAGTGCTCTCTTGGACATTTTTAGCACACTTTTTCCATTATAAACGTAATGATCAGGACATGATTGTACACAAGTGACATTGTCCATATAAATGTACGGGTATGTTTTCGGACATTCTAATGTACAGTTTGACAGAATATATTTCATATAAGTCGGACATTGATCAAAGCAGAAATATTTGTATTGATAAGCATTTCCAGGACACTTTTTCACACAAATATGTTCATGTTTTCCCCTGTTGTACCTTTGTGTAGTTTAAAGGAAATGTTTTTGGACATGCCTCGACACAGGTACTATTGAAAACCAAAGTGTTGCTAGGACAATCAGTCACGCATGCTTTATTTCTTTATCCATGCAAAGAACTATATGCAGTATATAGCAAATATTTGCCCCGACAAAAGTCAAATTATGAAAACGTCCTGAAATGTGCTGAATTCAATAAATTGTATGAAAAATATAAATTAACAGAAAATTTTATAGTGTCAAAGCAGTGTATTCACAATTTTGTTTTATGACTTCACAAACTAGTCCCATTTTGTTTTAATCCTTTTTTAGAAAGAAGACAAAATGGATAAATTTTCAACAATTTTAGCTTTAAAAAATTAGACGCAAGTTTGTTTTCGGACCAATATTGACATATTTCATTGATATTATCATTCTACACATTATATCAAAATATACGATCCTGAACACACATGCACTCGGTGACTTTTACTCAAAATATCGACGAAATATGTACGATCTTTTCTGTGAATTTCATAAGAAAAATGAAATTTACGTCATGTTTGTGACGTCATTACGTACATATGGCGTCATTACTTGTGAAAATATTCAGTGCTTTGAAGTCAGCATATACTCCCCTGTTTAAGAACTTAATTAATATATCTCCATCAAAGTTTGATTTGGGGGGCAAATATATGCAATATACCGCATATCAGTTCTTTATTAAGTGGACATTTTGAAACACACTGGTGATGGTGCTCTGAAGTCCTTTCTTCTGTATTAATGAAGAGACGATCTTTTTGACACGTTTCTACACATTTTCCGCGATATTCAAACGGCGATTTGGCTGGACAATCAGTCACACATTTCTTATTTTTCATCCATAGAAATGTATCGGGTGGGACTTCACGACGCAATGCTGAAAAGACATAGATGCTTTTTTTTTGCTGGTGTAGTGTTAATAAAAGGACGGTCTTTTTGGCATGTTTCTACACATTTTCCATGATATTCCAGCGGCGATTTGGCTGGACAAAACAGAAACGCAAACGTTTCTATAAGAGGCCATCATATCATTGCAATGTTCGGAACACACGAAAATTTTATTAAATACTGAAGTTCTGAGAGAAGTAAAAGGACTTGAAGGAGGACATGTTGATCGACATGTTTTATTGAAAAGCAAAGGGCGGTCATCGGGGCACGACAATTCACATTTGGTGAAATTCTGCATGGAAAAAGACGGACACTCTTTTAAACAGTGATAAAAATGATTAAAACGGAACTGAATGGGTGGGAAACCGGACACTTCGATGAGCATCTTATAACCTGAATAACAGACCCCTTCACAAAGAAACTGCCGTTATATACTTTGCTTCAGATGGACATGTCATCACACACGATTTGTTGTATCCGATGGTGTATTCAGGGCATGAATCAAGACAATTTCCTTCGAAACAATACGGGTATTCCTTTTGGCAAATAGATTTAGGGCAATGAAAATGTTCTACATCGCTGACACAGTACTTGATCAATCCGTTATATCTAGCAAAAGTGTGCGATGGACAGGTGTAGCACTGTTTCTGTACACATATTGTTTTACTACATGCTCTTTTACATGTATACTGCCATTCCCAGTATTTCCCGCTCGAACAATAACTTCTGTAGGAAGGCATCTTACATCTTGTCCCTTTGTGAAACAGATTTAAATTAATGTCATTTGTTAAAAAAATAGCTTTTTTGGTAGCAAAATGTGTCACAAACGATTTTTGTTGTACTTAGAACAATGTAAAACATGGTTGACTATATTATGATCATCTTCCCAAGTCAAGGGTTTCTGATCCGCTCCGCTCCACATATACCCTTGACCGAATAGGCTAAATTTGACGGGGTTTACTGTCACGCCGTAAGTAGCGAGATTACACGTTTTACACTCAACTGACCTCTGCTATTAGCCAATCAGAGTAAACATATTCACAGAGAATTCGAGATTATTGGTAGTCGTTAATAAATTCAATATAACTAAGTTAAAATATCTGATACAAACCTTTAACTGGGCTATTTAATGATAAAGACGTTATCCTTGGGACTGCAAACTTGACGTGTTTTTCTGTTTAAGATTTAGTTTCATTATAAATAAAACAATGATTTTGATTGTTTCCTGAAAACTTGTATGAGGTCAATCAGAGAGCGCATTTCTAACCCCGTCAATCTTAGTTTATTCGGACAAGGGTTTATGTGGAGCGGAGCGGATCAGAAACTCTCGACTTGGGAAGATGGATCATGATACGCTGTGAAAAGTTTTTTCAAATACAAAGTTCGCCGAAAAATGGCTAAATATTGCCGGCTCGGCTTGAAGCACTAATCAATCCATCAAATACAAAGTTTCCAATTTCACGAAAAATTGCTTGCATTCCTCATATACGATACCAATAAAAAGCTAGCCTACCCTCTCCTAACCATCTTAAAACAAAAAAAATCTAAGATAGAGGCAAGCTAACGTCCCGTATATTTTTTTTTTATATATCTTAGGGTCATTGAAATTATATTCCTGAACATTGGCACGAGTTGGATGTAAACTTACACGAGCTTAAACATTTCCTATTGATCTATATTATTTTTTTAATTAATTTAAATAATTAAAGATTAATGAGAAATTTTTGTATAAGTATCAAATTAGTACTCTTCAGTATCAGCGTCTTTCCTGCATGCATGTGTTCAGTGTCACATCATTCCAAATACCCTTCAAGCGTCTGATGATTTTATTTTATTGAGGCTAATAATTATTTCAATAATCATTTCAATTTTGTGTTAAAATTAACATATCTTACCTAGCTGCCACTACTGTTTATGAATATTGCATTTGAGCGAATAGACATTTTTTGTCTACAACTCTCGTTTTTGGAATATTTCTGGACAAAGGCAAACTTAAGGTAAAATTTTCTCGACATTCATATTTCACATGTGTATTCCTTGAGACAAGACCTTTTTTGGGTATCACCAAATTTGAACTTTGAACCTTGACCTTGGAGTTTGACCCTACTTTTAAAGAAAAATTGCAAACTTTTATTTGGGCCATATCATTTGAAAAGTGAATACCAAGACTTTTATACTTTACATTTGTATTTTTGTAGCAAGACCTTTTATTGAGTACAAACAACTTTGACCTTTTGACCTTGACCTTGGAGATTTCTGTACTCATAAAAAACTTTAACCTTGGTCATAACTTTTGAAAGGTAAGGGCTAAGGCTTTCATACTTCACATATGTAATCATTGTGAAAAGACGCTTCATTGGATTCCAAGAACTTTGACCCTTTAACTTTGAGCTTGGAGTTTGACCTATTTTTCAAATACAACCTTGAACTTTTTTGAAGGGTTTGATCTAGGGCTTTTATACTTCACATATTTAATCCTTGTGACAAGACCTTTCATTTGATATCAAGAACTTGGACCCTTTGAACTTGTCTTTGGAATTTGACCTACTTTTTACAAACTTTAACCTTGGCCATAACTTTTGAACAGTAAGGGCTAAAGCTTTCATGTTTCACATATGTTATCATTGTGACAAGACCTTTCATTTGATATCAACAACTTTGACCCTTTGACCTTGGAGTCTGACCTACTTTCTACAAACTTAACCTTGGTCATAACGTTTGAAGGGTAAGGGCCAGCACTTTCATACTTCCCATATGTAATCTTTGAAAACAAAGCCTTTCTTAAGAAATCAACAACCTTGACCCTTTGACTTTGACCACGGAGTTTGTCCTACCTTTAAAAACGTCAATCTTGCTCATAACCTTTGAACGGGTGGCGCTAGGGCTTTTTCTAATTTCACATTTGTATTTCTTGCGAAAAGGCCTTACTAAGGGTACTGCATTTGAGAGAGCTTACCTTTCGCTATGTTGCTATACAGGGGCATCAGTGTTTCACAAACACATCTTGTTCAGTCAAGTTTTGACACATATTTGTTAGGGTTTTTGTTTTGTATTTTCACTGTCTATATAGTAAGCGATACTTAAGATATCAGAAAATGATTATAAAGCCTCTTTAAAGACCCCGATTTTTACACAAATATTAAGTTCCATCAATAAAAATTAAATCATTCTGACTTGATTTTTCATAAGAGATATTTTGATATAAAATGGATTTATACAGAACAATTTATTTCAACAAAAAACGTCATTGTCCAGAACTTTTTTGACAACTCTCGTATATATACCTACATGCCTAACCGTTTTGTTGAACTAAAATCTTTTACTTTTCTTAAGCAATGACTAGATTGATTTATTGTATAATGTTTAATGTCCCTCTCGAGAATTTTTCACTAATATTGAGACGCCACCACTTGCTGGTGGAGATATGCAAATTTTATTTATAAACTCGGCACTGAGGGCAATTGAGCAGGGAGGGATCTTTTTCGTGCCAGCACCCACTGCGACACGGGACCAGTCTCGGTTTATACGGTCTCGTCCGAAGGATCGGTCTCCACGTTCCACAGTAGGATTCGAACCCGCGACATAAGGATCAACTACTTACTGAACGCGACTCTAGAGCAGACGCTCTAACCATGCGCCATGCGGGCAACAGCTAGCAATGACTAGAAATAGCTCGCGTAAACATGTAAATTCCCATCTATTTTTGTCTTAACACTCACATTTTTATAAAAATAGCATTTCATGTATGATTCAAAAGTCAGATTTGTACAAAACATCATAAAAAGCATAACAGCACATTACATTATGTGGCAAATAATACTTACTTGAATCAAGGGTAAAAAGTAACTCGATAAACAGAACAAAGAAACTAAGTGCCTCATAACTATATGCATGGTCATGCAGTGTGATCATCATTATAAACGTAATTAATAATGTATGGCGCTCTCTATATGACATAATTATTAGTTAAATAATTAATTTTGTCGAAAACAAATTCAAGAAATATGTAAAAGTAAAAAAATAAAGAAGTGTTTATCCAAATAAAAATAAAAAGAAAAGACAATTGAGAAGTTCATCATCTATATACATGTAGAATAAAGAAAATGATATTAGGGCAATGCAACAGACATCGTGTAAAACTTAGGCTAAATGAAAAATGACACTATCTGGATTCCAAACTTCTCAGAAATGAAATTGAGAGTAAATGGAAATCACATTGCTGGAACTTAGAATGATGGCAGCAGACAGATTACCTCTGCTTTCAAACAACATTTGTAGTGATATATCGGATAGTGAATTTGAAAACAAACATTTTAATCATACATTGCATCTGGATCGAGAGGAAAATTTGAGTTTCACTGAATCTGAGAATGCACAGTCTCTACAGAATGACGAACACTGTGAACTTGACGTTTTACCTTTGCAGTCGGACAAGAAGTATCATTTGTTTATATCGTATAGTTCAGAGGATAGGGATGATGCAAACGAAATCTGTGGGTGTATGGAGCAGAGGTTTCATATGAAATGTATGAACTTCGAAAGGAATTTCGTTCCCGGGAAAAATATTGACGACAACATTGCAGAAAATATGCGGAAAAGTGTCAAAGTTCTAATAATTTTGAGTCCAAACTATTTACAGAGTCATTGGTGCGTGACTGAAGCACGTGAAGCAGCTCAATTGTCTTTCACGGGTTTTTCCGATGTTAACGTGATTCCGTTACTTCTTCGGCCTTTAGGAAAAGATTTACCTCCCTTTTTAAAGTCCTACGTTTACATTGACGCACAAAGAGAAATTGATGTACCTGCAAAAATATACGAGGCTTATCTGAATCCAGGTGTCACTGATTTTTTTTATTATAATTTTTTATGCATAATTTCAATTTTAATTTGATAAAGTGCTTGTAATTCTAATCCCAACAAAAATTATCAAGTTCAAGTTCAGTTTATTCGCCCAAACAAAAAAAACTCAGGCACGTAGGAACATAAAAAGGGGGCGGGCAGCCTCCCCCACTTTTTTCAAAAATAATTTTTACATTAAAATGTTCATTAAAGGCTGGTTGCCCCCCCCCCACACACACACACACACTTTTGGCTGAAGACAATAAAGTGATATAAGGGTAATGTAATTATTGTAAGAAGAACATTTGGCACTGAAAGAAGTTTGTGTTAAAATATGATTGATTATGTTTGTTTGGGCAAATTTATTCTTTTTCGCGGGCTGCCCCCCCCCCCCCATCCCCTTGTGTGATCATTCATAAATGATATAAACCACATGCACATGTTACAGATTTTCTGTATGCAGTTTAACCAAGGGTTGCTAAATTTCCATCGTAATAAAGTTTT